ATTCTCTGTCTGGAGTTGACTGTAGGTCTATTAAATCTACTTGCCCTCGATTGTTAAATGAGTTCGAAATTATAGGTCAGACTACAATACCATTCTTTGGAAACGCCTTCTTATTTTGGCACGTTACACACTGTTTAATGAAACTGATAACCACCGGCGTAGGTATAAAATATTGAGATTTCAAAGTATGTAACATTTTGTCACGACCACCATGTCCTGTGTTTTTATGAATTTCTGACAAAGCATTGTAATATTCTTCGGAGGGCAAAATTTTTATAACAGGATCAGTAGTCGATTTTCGTTTCAAAGCTAAATACTTTTCTCCTTCTACCTGCATTACGTCATAATGGTTTGCATAAAAATGATGGTTAGGATTTCTCTTTACGTTAAGCCGAGGCGCCGCTTCATACTCTTCTATTTAATTTATTACTTCACTTATTCTCTGCCGTGTCCACTTTGGTTTTTTTGCATTTCGCATTGTAAAATAGACGAAGTTCCTGTTCAAAACATCGCCTTGCATTAATTTCTTCATCTTTATCCAAAGCTGGCACAAGTAATTAGCAATGATAAAACGAATATATAACAAATTTTAAGGAAACGTAGCGATAATTAAATGAACATGCACGAAAACTAGACGTCAACGCCGTACAACTGTTCTCGGCCGACTGACTGCGGAGTGGGGAGCGCGTAAACACAACGAACCCCTCCCCCGCCGCGGGGGAGGCGGCGCGCCGCCTGTGCCGCACACTCCGAAAGCTATTTCACTAAACTTAATCTAGTAATATAAGTATATCACTAAACTTGGACCGTTTTATAACTATATTCCTAGTGAAGAGCTTTCGTATAACTATGTTACGGTATATAATTATATCCCTAGGGGTATAACTATATAACGGCTTTATCCATCTTACTGCGACACATACATACTTTTTCATGTGATAGCCAAGTCAATCTATTTATTTAAATAATAAAATTTCCGGATAGACGGACAGACAAACACACAAAAATTAAAAAAAAAATAGTTACTCATGACTTATTGGCATGCAAATAGCCGCTTCAGTTCAACATAAGGCAATTATTTTGATATTACACACAGACGCTTCAGTTTTAATTGTATGTATACATTGTATTGTACTAATTTCTAATTTGCACAAAGTATGCAACTAATGCAATTCTACGATCACAGCAACACTTGCACAATAGGCCCCATTCTACCCTAACAGTTGTTCAATGAATAAAAACAATAGGTCTATGTTGTGTGAGATTGGATAACGTGGATGACAACAGACCGATTGACGCACATGACATTGGCTATCGAAAGGCAAGTATTATGATGCATTGTCAAGCGCGCACACCATAATGAACTGGTGATTACTGCTTATGACATCACGCCATTCAACTTAACCATATACCAGTAAGAGGATCGGGAATAAGGGTAGGTATCGTTTAACAAATGTGCTGTAGAGCAAAGTACTCACTGAGTTATGGGTTCAATGGACTGGAAATGGAACGGAGATTTATTTTTTATTGTAAAATATCTTGGGACATAAAATGGGCGGACTGCCCTGTGAGAAATTATGGCAGTCGACCTCGGAAGGAAAAGAAAAGTGTCGGAAGGTACAGGTGCATGTTTTTTTTATAGAATAGGCTAAAAAAGTATTGTAATGTCTTTTTTTTTAGATGGAATTATGTTTCATAATACGAATAGGTTAGTATTTGATAAGTCCTCCTTTCATGTTGGCTCACTCTTTATTGAAAAGATAAGGAAAAAAACAAGTAAACAAGCTTACTTAACATACACACATATATAAACATCCATACATACATACATAACATAGAAATATATTATTATATATACATGTTATACATAAATACTTATCATAGGTATATAGGTGTTGAAGTACTTTTAAAATATTGTTTATATAATGATTTCTTATATTTACGCGAACACTATACATTGATTAAAACTACTTTTACGGATTTTATCGCGTTTTATTTATATTAATTTTAATACCCGACGTTTAGGGTGCTTTCCAGCACCCATGGTCACGGTGGACTGAGGTGACTGACGTCCCGATGTCAAAGTTAACCCGGAGTACCTTCAGCTTTTTAATTATTGTCTTTGGTCCGATCTACGCAGAATGAACTAACTGTATTTTGAAGTCTTGCAGTGGTATGCTTGGGTTTAGTCTTAATTTTATTAATTATAGGATCCCAAGCAGGTGGTAGTACCCAGCCTCCTTCTCTATTGAAATTAGGATGTTTTTTAATTTCAATAGCCTCACGTATCATCCTTGGTAGGAATCGATGTTCTTTCGCGAGGATTTGTGGTCTATCAAATCTGATGTAATGGTTGGGGCCATCTAGAATATGATCGCAAACTGCAGACTTCCCGGAACGACGACGAAGACGATACTTTCACAATTTTACCATCAGACAAAGTAACTGCATTTTTAGAACATCTTAATTCCATAAACTCTAAAATTCAATTTACTATGGAGTTAGAGGCAAATAATTCCTTAGCTTTCCTAGATGTGTTAGTCATCCGAAATCCTAACAACACCATAGGTCATACTGTGTATAGAAAAAAGACCCATACAAACCGATACTTAATCGGTTACCGATACTTAATTCCGACTCTGGAAGCTTCGTGTATCTACCTACGCGAGCAATCGGGAATTCGGGACTATTGCTATCTCGCTTGCTCTAACAATATAACCCGTGGATAAGCCGCCACCGCGCTGCCGTCGTCGCCGCGCCGCCGGCCGCGGCGGTTCCTCTAGAAAACGTATTTAACCGAGATCAGCACGAACATTACCGACAGCTGTTACCGACGCATGCACGGCGCACCGATAAGTTCACTTAACGGCGCCTCTACACGTTGGCCAACACAGTGGCGAATGTAGTGGCCGATAGCATTAGCCAACGTGTAGACGGGGTGTTTGGACTTCATTGGTATGTATTGGAACGATGGCCCGCAAGTTGGCGCGAGATCCGTGTGGTGTCGGTTTTTTACAAAAGATCAAAGGATTGTTGGCAGAGTTTGGTCGCCGTGTCCACACGTTGGCCTCGCGTTTAGTTTGCTTCAAGCTCCCAGAGTGATTACACGCATCTGATTCAAATTTTATATTCAAGCTTTGTAGGGTGGATGCCCCAATTACCAGCCTTTTAGTGCCAATTTCAACTTTAAACATTCCTATTAATAGCGCGATTTAATTATTATTAAACATTTGTTTTAATCAATAAGCTATTTATCAAAATTAACGTTTTTATACAATCAGATTATTACGAGAACAATTTTAAAATGAAAAAAAAAAAATAAAGCACTTCGTTTATACGTGGTAGAACCATGCAATTATAATAGAAGTATAGTTGCAGCACGAAGGTCGGCTCGACCGGGGAAGGACCACGCTCTCACAGAATACCAGCGTAAAATAGTAGCTTAATGATACTGTGTTTCGTATAGTGAGTGTCGAGAATCAGAGACCCTTTTTAAAGGAAACGAGGCATTTCATCTTAGTCCTCACGGGTGACAACGCATCTGCATTTTGATTCGTAATCGAGGATAGATGTAGATGTCTGTGGGCCACAGTAACCACTTACCATCAGGTGAACTGTGTGCTCGTTTGTCACCCTATCCTATAAAAAACGTCGATTTCTTATAATTTAATCGTGCAAGATTTCGAATCATCATCATCATTACAGCTGTTCACAAGTCCACTACTGAACATCCTCCTCCACAGACTGCCGCAAAGCATGGTCCTGAGCCACTTTGCTCGTCATGAGTTTTTCATTTATGTTCTATGTTATAATTAGTACCTATTATTAAGTCAGTGTTAATTATATTTATTGCTACTGTTTTTGTCTTTCTCAAAAAATAATTAAATTACCAAATAAATTATAAGGTGTTTTTATATACATCAAATGTCTTATAGAAAAGCAAGTACATGCTTTGCTAAACTTTAAAATCAAAACCCAATTTTAAAACATAGACTAATCGATTATAACTCCTTTAATTTTAAAATAAGTTAAGTTCTTATTAATGGTATTTATTCCAGTTTATGATGCATGTAAAGAATAAATAATGCTAATCGTATATCTATTTACAGCGCCATTAATATCCACTATTCTTTTATAACTATTTTATAAAAACGTTACCCCCACACTTGGATTTTCTCCTGTGTCGCGGAGGCTACTTACAAACATAAATTGCACAAGGACAAACATCCAGACCCGAAACAATTATTTGTAGGATATACAAATACTTGTTCCGTGCGGGATTCAAATCCGCTGCCCCCGGCACAGCCACTCATTGCTAAGCCACTGCGCCACGGAGCCGTCGTCTAAAATAAAATAAATTCGTCCGCACATTGGCCCGAACCGAAGTAAACTGAATGACCTTCCAACGTGTGGACGCCGTCACCAACTCTCGGCCAATATAATCGCCACTACATTCGCCACTGTGTTGGCCAACGTGTAGAGGCGACATAAGAGCGCGCGCGCGAGATTCAAATTACTTTTGGAACATATTTTTTTTGGTTTTATTCTGGAATATAATTCAATATTTTTCGAATGTACGAGAGTATTATTTTTGCTGTCGGCGGGCCACCAGTATTCGACTGGCTGGCCGCGGTCTGTGCATCTACGATTTACGTAGTTAATATTATCTCATCTGTGGTACTATAATAAATTGTGCCAGACTGGTGTCCAGCCTATGTCCTTTAATATCTGGCTCCTACTGGATATACTGGGATCCTGGGTTAGAATCCTAGATGCAAGGAACACTTGTGCAAAAACACAAATTGCAAGTTTGCGTTGTGACCGTCCTTGTGTCTTTTATAATTACTGACATTACATTCGATAAGGGGCGCTGTCCGGGCAAAGCACTTCAGCGCAGGTTCTTAGTACCGATTACGGAAATTGTCACCGTAGTACGAATCGGCCAAGAAGATACCAACACACTGAAATAATAACCTAAGTTTAGTGCAGTTTTTACTTACTGGTGGTCAGAGGTGTAATGGCTTTTTCCCCTTCATGTTGGAACATCTGTAGCGTCGCCACGGTCGCTTTGAGCTGCTCGTATTCACGTGCCATCTGTTTTTGTACCTGTACAAAGAAAAGATTGTATTATTAGTCATTACATTATTGTTGACTAATAAATACACCAATGGTTTCAGTCAATTGAATGAACACTTCATTCAGTTAACTTTCCTTGAAATCTTATATATGTAAGATTTAAAGTTTTTCCGATCATATTTTAATAATAATATCCTCCAGCCCGAATTTCGTTTACGGTGGTCAGTCTCAACCACAGAAATCTAAATAGTATCTTATTATTTACATTTCTGTGGTCTCAACGGACACTACCTATCAGCGCCGAACAGGATCATAGTGCAAGAGTGTGTGCACAACCACAGAAGTACTCTCTATTCCCTCAATCTCATAGGTCGATTGAACACAAGGCACAACTGTCAACAATACGACACGACCGGATAGAGATCAAGCAAGGCTATTCTGTAAGAACATTTTAGTATCTCGAAAGTTGAATCCGCGGTGAAATATCAAATTAGCAGTCTGTCAAATTCGAAAGCGCCGGTGGCGCCCCTCAATCGAGCGCAGAATCGAGAAGAACTGTCGTGATGTGTGTGAAAATGTTGACATTTGAAGTATGTATTAGATATTCTCTAAGAAAATTCGAGCTTCAATTTCACAGGCGAAGCGCGAAAATTCATTTTAAAAGTTGTGCGGGAGCTATCGAGTTGTGTTTGAAGCAGTGCTTAGAATACATTTTAACAGTGTTATTATAACGGTTTTACATAAACTTCAAATATAAATAGTAGTATGGCTCATTCCTTCATATTATATAGTTTATTGCAAGAAGCATATTCTTCGGATTTATATGAGAGTCGTCGTCGAGCTAGCAACTTTCGTGAATTTAGAGTATTTAATAAACACAAAGACTTTATAGAAAATTATCGTTTGTCGGAAAAACTCATTAATTACTTGTTAGAAGATATCAATCAACTTTTGAAAAGGCGTAGGACCAAAGTGTGAACTAAGGACTGCATGAGAATGCTGTATGAGAATTTCTTGACATAAAAAAACCCAAACACTGATTTTTGTATGGCTACCGCGCTTACGACCACTAGCCCAATAAGGCAGTAAACATAATAATATAGCATTTAATACGTATAATGTTTAAAATTCTTTTGTTAAAAAACCTCTTATATCGATAGAAAATATCTGTTTTGATGCTCGCAGTTTCAAGGCAAGCAGAAGTAACCAACGTAACCATAAACATCTATGATATGATGTGGCAATGATTTTGACCATATAGCTCGTTCAAAACGCGAACGTCTTTTATGGCAGTCTCTAAAGAATGCTTCAAGAATAATCGCCAACAAATATTTTTGGAAAAATATACATAGAAGTAATAATAATATAAACTTCTCTTTTATCTTCCACCCGTATTTCAGCCGCCAATCATCAGTCCACTAGCTGCAGTGAACAAAACAATAGGTCGACTTTTGCTATTGGGTAGGCTAAGATTAAAAACAGATGCGACTCTTCGATCTCTCTCTCTCTCTCTCTCTCTCTCTGATAAAACTGACGACTCTGGTGAAAGCGCGGCTGTCCATCCAAAATTGGAAATATTGACACATTTTCGTTACTTGATTTTTTTTTAAAAATATAGATATAGCGAATAGCGATACATTGATATTTTTTCGACAAGCCTACTTCCAAGTGTCCTAAAGTTTACAAAGCAACTGTGACCTTTTTGTCTAATTTGGTTTTGGATTTCCATGACCTGCTTAGTATTGCAGTAGTATTACCTATAGAAAAGTAAAAAAAGTTTTATTTACTTAATATTTTCTGCGGTTTCAGTTCTTAAATCCCCATTATAAATTCGGAAATTGCAAAAATTTATTAGTTTATCCTTTTTAACCGACTGCTCTAAAAGGAGGCTAATGTTTAACGAGAGTATGTATGTATGTATGTATGTGTGTTTGTATGTACGTATGTTCATTTATTCGATACGCTCTGTCTGTATGTAGGTTTGTTTCGTCTGAGTATGTAGGCTACACGGCATGATAGATATAAACATTAGGGTATCGTTAGATTGGTCCATGGAATTGACATAGGGTATAAAAATTTTACCTTTTTAGTAAACTTTTGGGCATAGTCGATTTTTTTTTAAAGTAACTGTTTTAACTTTTAACCACTGAGCATGTTGATAATGTTTATCACAGAGCCTCCTGTGCCCGTGGCAATGAATTTTATATACATTTCGCCGAGCACGATTTATTGAACGCGTGTTCGATTATGTTTGCAAGCACGCGGGGATAATCTCAAAGGTAATTTGACGTCATTACGTCCGCTTCGTGAGCTCAACGGTTGTTCGCAGCATCATTTACTCACGTCCCAAGAAGAGTACGCACTCGATTGCAGTTTATTAGCTGAGGTAAATATTTTCTAAACGGAATAAATTCTAAATTCTGAAAAAAATAAAGATTTATTGGTTTTTCTATAACGAAGTAACTTTATTATTGCAGTTTTAGGGATCTTTCATAATAGTATTGGAAAATCACAACCAAATATTTTACTAATATAAATTTTAAGGTACAATACATTGTGGGAAAGCATTAAAATATACAATGGTAATGCACTTAGGACAAAGAAACACGTATTCTTACGAACTTTAGCCAAGTAATAACAAGGTTGTTTTTGTCGCGTTAAGGTTTATGCACGGAAATAGTAATAATTACCTATATATTACGATTTCTGTGGGTTTATATTACCAACAGTACCTTTAAAAGAAAATAATATACGGCTAGTGTCCCTCGTAAGTAGAGAAACGACGCAAGGCAGATTATACAATTTAAAAAGTATATTTTATTCCAATAAAAATCGTAATCGGTTACTGCTAACGGTTGTAAAATTATAATATTCTGTTTTCAAGTTTACTTATAAGAATCTTAGTAAATATTGTGACGTTATAAAAATAACTTCATCCGAATGATCCGATGTTCAGAAATGATGACTCACCAAAAGCGACTTGAAGGAAAAGGTGCAATGTAATTCCACGAGAAGCTATTGTTCATATAACGTGCAGGACGCGGCCTGTCGTCCTTCCACGAACAGCATCGTTGAGATAGTATCGTTTGCATTTGCTGCAAAGCGACGCATAATAACTGTTTAATTACACGGCCTCTGAGAATACACCCGCGGTGATTAAAGAGACGTTTTATAGTAGTGGTGATTGATCATTCGAGGCGTTCAATTCAAATTATGAACAACACGGGTTTTATAATATGTATTATATTTTCTTACTTCTTACCAACCCGTAACAGTCCACTACTGGGATTAGACATTTCCCGATTTTGGGGATTTGACATTTTGTATTGATATGCAACTTTTGAAATGAAAACGAAAATCAGGCTAACTATTTTTGTTTAATATAATACATTTTTGCCAATGTATATTTTCGAAAGGCAATAGTGAAGTAATTATAATTATTGTACTATTAATGATAAAACAGACACTACTTCGCTTTACGAAAAACGATTTCTCTTATTCTGCCTCACATACTCGTAGGTATATACAGGTTGATCCAAAATGTGACGTCCAAAAATTTTTTTTGGAATGCTGACCTTTCGGGCTACAAGAAAATACCCCATGTATGTTCCTCAATTTTTTTTAGTTTACGAGATATAATTTTTTTTGTATTATTTTGAAAAATGTCGACTTAGCGATTCAAAAATTTTTTTTCTTGAAAATTCTGCTCTCTTTTCTACTTTTTTTATTCTTAGCGTAGTCTTCATGAGTTGGACTCTTTGACATAAAAAAATAAGCTGCCTATCATTAATACAAATCGCAAAAATTTTAATCGAAAACAAATTATGCATGATTTTTTTGAAATTTAAACTAAAAATTAAATAACGAGTTCCATGACTTTATTTCCCTTTGGTGTTGGGCTTTTTTCCTCCATTATCAAAAATAATCGTTTTATTATGCACCTATTGTTTATTACTAAGGATAATTAGATTTTCATGGTATGTCATAATCTTTCATAATAAATAAAACGATTTGGTTTTTTAATAATTATTTTATTTTACAACCAATTCTCAAAGTACTTCAATACACAGTCTACAACGCCTTAGAAAATTTTGTTTCAGTCTTCTAAAAGCATTTGAATGTTGTCTCATCATAGCGGCAAGGAGCACCATCATTTTGGTAAATCATATCCCTTCTTGTCAATAAGTTTACATCGCCTAATAAGCCGTTTAAATTGTTTTGTAAGTCTAAATATTGGGCTCCGTTTAACCTAGCAGGCAATTCAAAAGGTCTTATAAGTTCCCCGTTCAAAATTCCTGACCACAAGTTTACACTATAATGTGTTTGAAAATTTGAAAGCCTTGCCTTGTGTGGGTTTTCAACAGCCCAACTATGGTAATTGTGGATATTGAAGACTCCTGTTCTTTCAAATCTAGACTCGTCTGTCCACAGAATTTTATCAAAAAAACCTGGATCCTCCGCAGTTCTTTCCAGCATTGTTCGACAAAAAGTCACCCGTCTTGAATAATCTGCAGGATGCAATTTTTGGACGCGTTGAATATGATAAGCGTGGTATCCCTCTGAAAAAAAAACGAAATTGTACTTCCAGGAATCACTGTTTTTATTCCATGAAATGTGGTTTTTGCCCGACATAAGTAATTAAAATTAATTGATCGCTCGTCGCTATTCAAAGGTGCGCTTTAATACGGTGTCAAAGTAAAAGTTTTAAAGACAAAATGAACTTACCTGACTTAAGTATCCTTATAACTGAGGTTCGTGGTACACCAGTCGTTCTCGCAATAGCTCTGGTGCTAGTAAAAGGATATCTTTGCACTTGTTCCACGACTTCATCTCTGACATCTGGATCCACTCTGGGTACTCCTTCGTGGGAACTGCGTCCCGGAATTCGTCCGTCCATAAATGTATTATGTGTATTTATGAACACTCTATGATCGGGATAAAGTTCCCGTTCTTCTCCTCGCCGTTCTAGTTTCTATCGGTAAAGCCTTGCCGCTAAATGGCCATTGCCTTGGGCAACGCCGTAAAAATAA